CTCATTTCAGTCAGAATGGCAGTTATTAAGAATACAAACAGGGCTGGAGTTTGACTCAGAGGTAGAGCACTCCCCTACCATATGTGAAGCCCTGAGTTCGATCCTCAGCACCACATAWAAATAAAGATTTTTTTAAAAAAATTCAAACAACAATAAATGTTGGCAAGAATGTGGGGGGGAAGGCACACTTATACATTGCTGGTGGGACTGCAAAATGGTGCACCCAATATGGAAAGCAGTATGGAGATTCTTGGAAAACTGGGAATGGAATCACCTTTGGACTCAGCTATCCCACTCCTCAGTCTAAAAAACAGCATGCAACAGGGACACAACCACATCAATGGCAACCTAGATGCCCTTCAGTAGATGAATGGATAAAGAAAATGTGGTATTTATACACAATTTAATATTACTCAGCATTAAAAGAGAATAAAATCATAACTTTTGCAGGTAAATAGATGGAGTTGGAGAATATAAGRCTAAGTGAAGTCAGCCAATCCCAAAAAACCAAATGCCAAATGTTTTCTCTGATTTAAGGAGGCTGATTCATAATGGGGTTGGAAGGGGAAGCATGTGAAGATTAGAGGAACTCCAGATAGGGCAAAGGGGAGGAAGGGGAAGAAAGGGGGCAAGAGGTGTCAAAAGATGGTAGAATGAGATGGACATCATTTCCCTAAGTACACGTATGAAGACATGAATGATGTGAATACATTTTGTATACAACCAGAGATATGAAAAAATGTGYTCTATATGTGTAATGTGAATTGTAATGCATTCTGCTGTCATATACAAATAAGGATTAAAAAAAACCTTCAGATCCCCACCCAAATAAATATGCACTAAGTAACATTTGAACTACAGTATTCTGCTTAAAATTATTATTTTTTAGTATTTAGTATTAAGTTACTTACCTATGATGTCTTCTTATCTCTGCACATTCTACTGCCATCCCATATATGACAGCACTTGCTGGTATAACTTTCCCATACTTATTACAATTACCATTTTCACCTTTGGTCTGAAAATRTAATAATAAAAATGACTATCACATGTATGCAATATACATGAATGAGAAGCAATGAAAATTTTAAAAAAAGGGTTCAAAATCCAACACCACAAAAAAAGAAAAAGAAAAAATTTAAAATTTAAAATAAACACTTTAAGAAATTTTTCAAAAAAAATTTACTATGTATGTATGTACATTTTCTTAATATAATTACAGAGAAGGGAGGGAGGGAAAGAACTGTAAGTCTAAATAACATAGGACTTTGGGGTACAACTTTAATTTAAAAATCAAAATTATCATTATCTGCTTGAAAAATAAATTATTCTTCTTTTCAGCCTTTAGCTATTTTAAATCCAAATTATTTTCTGTAAATAGCAAAGTTTTATTCCATGTTAATATCCTTTCCTTCATAATAAATGTTATCTATGATTTGTGACCTACCACAGAGGATTTCAATACAAAATGTAAGAGTTAGTGCTGCCCAGTCAGCAGCCTGAGTTCAACAATCACCTTAAAACTCTACTAACCCCGCATCACTATATGCCCTTCTGGTGAGCTGCCAAAATTCCCAGCAGTGAGGGCAGAAGGACTGAAAGTACCTCCTTTTCACAACCATATTTAAGCATTCTATAGGAAGTTCTTCCACAAGGTAACACCAATTCCTATGAATTTCTTCCTGGAGTATTTTTTACCTTTATAATGCTCATCTGGGCACAAAAATATATATTGTGTTATGTTGCTATTCAAAGGTTTTGGCATGGATTTCTTTCCAATTACACATTATGTACCTTGACAGTAGGAAATAAACTTCATATTGCTTTGCAAATGCTCTAGGGGCTCAATAAATCTCTGCTGAAATAATGAATAATGAATTCTTAATGAAATTCAAATTTTTTTTCATGTTGCTTACCTTTGGCTGCAAAAGTAAATGCTCCCAAGCATGAATCAAACTCTCCACAATTCCTTCTCCAAATAAACCTGCATCGACAGTTTCGGTTACAACTAGGGACACTCTATAGAATGATTTTTTAAAGATACATGTAAGTAAAATAGCATGCTATTTATATAAAAATGTTCAAGCTGAGAGAAGAGAAAAATGAAGAGTATATTATAGAAGCAGTCCACATGTAAATCTTTCTAATATATTTTATTTTAGTATCTAGCCTAAATTGTTGAGTAACTTGACTCTAATGTTCTTCAGGTCCCTTTGTGCTCCACTGGCTCCTCCCCATTAGTATGAGGGCAAGAGGGCTGACAACACCTGGCACTCACTGCTGCCTGCTCAAGCTGTTCTTTGCCTAAATCCTCAAGAGCTGTTTATGCCCACCGCCTTTCCTAGTCCCCTTCCCAATATCAAACAACTGGAGTGCTAACTCTAACACTGTATAAAAGTATTCTCTATTAACAATGACTCCTTCCTTATCAAAACAAATCATCTTTCTTAGTTATAATTTTTCTTGAGCTACAAATATTATTTAATGCCATTAAGAGCCTTTCCTTTCAAAAAGCCAACCTCTATCTTCTGTGATACTGCACAGCCCAACTTTGCCTCTTGCAAGTTTGACTGTGCCTCTCATTACTCATCATTTCTTTTGTCTTCACAAAATGTTCTTCCATGATTTCTGTCCATTCTTGGAAAATTCTACTCAAAAGATACTTCTAAATAATTCCTCCCTTCTCTAAACTCCTTTAGCTCTTATCTCCAGTACCATGCATTTTTGTAGTCTGAAAATAAATGAACAGCTCTTATCTTCCTATCTGCAGGAATGCCTGTGGTATCCCCAACAGTGCTTAAACCCAATATTATACATATATACAGAAACATTCAGTATTTAGAGTTGCATACACTTAGAATATTTAAGGTATCTCAAAACACCTATCCAACATCTCAAAATCTAGCAGTCTACTTAAGGTCAAAATGAATTAAGAAAAGAGTATAGAACTTCTTATTTCCTGATAAAAGGTCAGTACACTTTTCTATACCTTTATCTGTTAAAAAAAAAAATACAAATTGAATTAAAGTTAAGTTTGATTCATACTATGGAATTAACTATATCCCCCCARAATTCTTATGTTGAAGGTCTAACCCCTAATACACCTGTATTTGAAGACAGAACCTTTAGGAATTAATTAAGACTAAATGAGATAAACAGGTGCCCTAATCCAATAGGTCTGGCATCATTATCAAAGAAGGAACACTGGAGATCATTCTCTCATTCACATACAAATAGCCATGTGAAGATGTTGTTAGAAGATAACTATTTGCAAGCCAGGAAGAGAATCTCACCTGAGAAAAGATCTGTGGTTTAAGCAACCCAGTCAGTGGTATTTTGTTATGCAGACTAAGATAATTCAGGACAGTGTCTTTTTTCCCTATAAAAGGGATGCATACCTGTCTTAATAACCTAATAGACTTCTTTCATGAAAAACAAATATAAAACCATTGAAAAGTACACAAGTACTATGCAAACATCATTATATATGGAAGAAGACTGAAAAATAAATCAAAACTATCATTAAAATAACAGTGTTAGACAAGATGATTCTTAAATATCTTCTAATTCTAAAATTTCATCACCCTCATAATACAGTTCATACTAATATATACTAAAAAGCCAAAATTTATAGGATTATTTTCAAAGCATTTAAAGGGCACAGGCCAAACTACACTGACAACTGATACTTCCAAAGCTCTCACTATAAACAAAGATAGTAACAGAAAATGTGATRAGTCCATTGACTCTAATCTGTTCAGGTTTTAAGTACAATTTTCAAATAGTTATTGATTATACAGGATTATTATCCATTTTTACAAATTAGAACACTGAAATTAACAAAAGTAAAGGTCATTTATATATTTTATTCCTTCCACAAATTTTTCTCAAGACTTTATCATATAACCATATCTTTACAAAGACAGAATTTTTGTCAGGTCTAGAAGCTAGAAAGGTATCTTAATTTTTTTAAAAAGCAGTGAATTACAGGGGCTGGAGTTGTGGGTCAGTGGTAGAATGCTCGCCTAGCATGTGTAAGACCTGGGTTCGACACTCAGTACCACATAAAAATAAATAAATAAAATACAGGTATTGTGTCCAACTACAACTAAAATAAATAAATAAACCTTTTTAAAAAGCAGTGTATAAATACYAAAATCAGTTTATAAAACAGTACCTTTCAGGAATGTGTTTTGGAATTTCTAAGTCAAGTGACTTCATGTGTAGAAGTTTTATTCCTGCTTCCATCTTGTTTGCAGCCACTACATCACAGGCAAGTTCATACATGGTTTTAGATAATTCACAGGCATACACAGACTGTGCTCCAGCCTTTTTAGCAAACATGCTATTAAAAAAAAAAAAAAAGTGTTCCATCATATACACACACACACAAAAATCCACTGTATTTTTTCAAATTTCAATGGAATTATAATGCTTTAAACGTAGGCTTTTTCTTTTCTTTTTTAACACAACTATTACTCATTCTGCACTTTAAAAATGAACATTCTTGTCTAGACATAAATCATGACATCTGTTCTATTAAGAAGCACAACTGACATGAAAAACTCAAAACAGGCTTCATAAATTTCAATAGACTATAAATACAAAAAATACAATTTCAATAATAATCCCAGGGCTGGGGTTGTGGCTCAAGCAGTAGAGTGCTCGCCTAGCAACTGTGAGGCACTGGGTTCGATCCTCAGCACCACATAAAAATAAAATAAAGATATACAAAAAATAATAATAATAATAATAACCCCAAATTTCATAGTTTCTCCAGCCTTTGATAAAGTAAAAGCTATAAAGAAAAATACAGTAATAATGATTGTATGAATAACCCTAGCAAGATTAAGAGAAGTGACTGCTATTTTAAAATTCCAATGTCAAATTTTCTATATCTGGCAAATATTTGATGTGCATTAATATATATGTATATATAATTTAAACAACTATAACAAACCTCAGAATTCCAGTTCCCGCTCCAATGTCCAAAACACTTTTGAACCCTGAGCATACCGCCTTTTGGATCGCTGCATTATAAATCATATTCCTTTTGGTGTCATTAAGCATGATAAAGTGCCAGCGTTCCACCAGCCAGTTTGCAACACGATAAAAATTCTCCTTTGCATCACTGAAATCAGGGTTTAGCTTCACTGCTTTATGAAAATATCCAGCTGCTTCATCTCTAAAGCCCATTCTAGAGTAAAACAGTGAAAAAGACAAAATACATTCAACTCTGTGCTAGCAATTACTGCCTTTGTTCATGCCACTCACCTGGCCTATACCAACACTCCAAATCCTGAAGATAGGAAACTAATTCCTCTGGCAAGCTTTCTGTGGAACTGCAATTCTCAAGACTTCTTTCTTTTCTAAATATCTACTGTCTTTATGTATCCCAGAACCTTAATAAGTACTTGAGTATGAATAAATATTGAACTAAGTTACAGAAGCAACTGTTACAGGTATCCTCCACTTAATCCACCTGCTSAAATACCAATTTGTTCTAAAACCATTCCCTCTGTAAAACATACTAATGCCTAGGACTAGTGGGTCCTCTTTAGTGTGCCTGCAGACCTTTTCTCCCAGTACCTGAGTCAAATGGTCATTTAAGAGTCAGCTGTATTTGCTGCCAGACCAGTTTATGGCAGTTGTACTGTTTAATCTGTACTGTTTAATCTGCCAAAACTGTATAGACCTACAATAATTTTCTGTTATATTGAGTTTATTCTGCAACACTGTCTTGTAATGTTATGAACACTGTGTATAATCTAGAAATATAATGGAATTCAAGAATAATTCTCCTTATCTAAATTTTTTTWAATATTTTTTAGTTGTAGATGAACACAATACCTTATTTTATTTATTTTTATGTAGTGCTRAGGATCGAACCCAGTGCCTCACACATGCTAAGCAAGCACTTTACCACTGAGCCAAAACCCCAGCCCCTTATCTAAACTTAAGAACAAAAGAAAACTCTAAATTAAAATTTTGTAGGCTTTTACTAATTGAGGAATTATTGAAAGATATTTTTAAATAAATTTCATTTAAATGGAAGGTTGCTAATTTGTAGAAAAGGTGCCTCATCAGATTAGTTGATAATGTGAAAACAAAACAATCTGCCTTATTTTCCTAATTATATTTTTTCTGATTCTAATCATATTAGAAATTATCAAATATTTGTCTCTTAAAGGAGTAGTCATTGATTCCACAGACCATGTTAATTAACACTGCTGTATCACTGGGACTAACAACATTTGATAAGAGTATTTTTTATACAAAACTCTTAATTGAATAAAATTAATACAACCCAAAAAGGAAAGAAAAATACTAGAAAACAATTACTAGAATATGTTAAAATGATATTTCTTTAGAAAATAAAGCATTAATGGTGTTTCCTAAATAAGAATTCTATTATTTTCCTAAATAAGAATTCTATTMATTTACACAAAGCAGTGAGCCCAGTTATTAAGGCAAATCCCAAAGAATAGATTTTTATTTCTTACAGCTTTCCTAATAATAAAGTTCCCATGGAGAGTACACAAGAATTCCAATGTGGAAAAAAAAATGTGTTCTATAGAAAGWAGTCATATTTCACTTATAAAAACACTTATGTACACTCACATTAATACATAATATAAAATCAATCTTCACTCACTTTTTCATCAACATTTTAAGCAACCTCAACAGAAAGGCATTCTATTCGGCAGCTAAAGTGGATATGACTTGAATGGATATTACTTGTTTTCAACAAGTAATTGTTAACAAAAAATTCTACACATCAAAGCTGGGTGCAGTGACACATGCTCGTAATCCCAGCAGTTTCTCAGAAAGCTGAGGCAGGAGGACCACAAGTTCAAAGACAGCCTGGCCAACTTAGCAGGATCCTGTCTCAAAATGAAATATAAAAGTTATTTATAAAACATATGTCTCTATACTGAAATAAAAATGTATGTGTAATAATGAGCTATCTGAACAATTAACTCTGAGAACTGCACAAATTATATATGTACCTTTCCCCAGAGCCCTGACCTTGTACTACTACTGTTCACTGAGTCAAATTAGAGGCTCACAGGCATTGAGACAAGTGTATCAAATTGATTACTGACAGTTAATAGAATCAAGATGTACTTAAGAGAAATTGTTGTCCCTTAAGAGCTCTGTAGTCCTTTATGAATGAAACCAAATTTTAGGTGAATATGACTTGAATGGAGGAAGAGGCAATTAACAGAGAAATGCATAAAAATAACTAAAAGGAAAATGTAAAATGAGACTCATTAATTCATAAATTGTTAAAATTTATACAAGAGCCATTTCCCAACTTGGCAGAACCATGATCTCACCATATTACTTTGAAATTTTCTAATTCAGAAGCAGAAGCGATGTTAACCTTTCATTGTATTTCCTATATTTTCTCAAACCTTTTTATTCGTGTGTGCTGGAATGCAAAAAGAGTTAACATGGCAAGTGGAACTGATAACCCTTTGAAAGGTCTGCTTACGAGGTTGGCTTTTGGCTGGTTTCTGGAATTTTGGGACATTTCCCCTGCCCTAACTAATAAGAGCAGCTCACAATTTGTACAAATAGTGTGATTCATGCTGAATATCTGCTTTTCTTCTGGGAGTCTAGAACTTTGGTGTATGTTACACAGAAGATAGATACCCAAATGTCCTAAACACYGACAAAAACATTGGATACGGAGTTTCTAATGAGCTTCCCTGATTGGCAACATTCCACTTGTGTTCGTTGCAAGGTGAAGGAAGTATACCCAAGGTGACTTCACTGAGAGAGTACCTTGGGAGAGTTGCACTTGGTTTCCTTCAGACTGCCCCATGAACCTTTCCCCTTTAYTAATTTTGCTTTATGTCCTTTCACGATAACAAATCACAGCCATGACGACTATATACTGAGTCCTGTGAGCCATCCTAACAAATCAGCAAACTTGGGAATGGTCTGAAAGACTCCTAAGATAGCCAGTTATTGACTTATTACTAAATTCTCCCCTTTTGCCTGCGGTGCATAAAAATGTATCTCGCTCTTTAATATTTTTCCAACCATCATTTAAAAAATGCTGGGGACACTACAGGAGGAAAGGGTTTTGCTTCCAGGTTCTAAGTCCCAGAAGCTCAGGGCTTCTCCAGCATCAGGCTCCTGAGGGAGGCAACAGTACTCAGTGATTGGTTGCATCCCCCAAGAATCCCCCTCCTGGGTGCTTTTGTAACAGAATGTCTCAAATTTGATACTTCTTCATGAGACTCTCTAGCACCCCAACCAGCAAAATTCTAGCAAGTTCCAGAGAACCAAACGACAAGTTATCTGGCACCCTGTGAATCACAGCTATGCCCTCTCAGTCCATTAGGTGGACTCTTCCTTGAATACTCTATCCTAGCCACAGGTGCAGGGATGATTATATAGTATTAAAACTGATATTCCATTCTATACCTGCTATTCTCATATTCTTTTAAGTTCTCTTGTTATTAGCTAATCCCTCATTACTTCAATCCCCTATAATGGTTAATTCTTTACATTAAGCTTCCCCTATTCAAATTACTATATAATTGATCYCTGATTCAGACAGATACAGAATAATTCTTAACTAGAAATACAGAAATCATTACAAACCTGAAGAGATGTTCCCCCATACTATTGCAAATTACTTCATCATCAGGAAAGAGTTCCAAGGCCTGCTCATAGCAACCAAGTAAGTCTTGTGTTCGACTGAGTGCATCAAGCTCTTCAGCCCATTTCAAGAGCGTATACTGAAAAGTTTCCTTTAGAAACAAAGAAAAAAAGGTAGTCAATAGAGATGAAAGAATACAGAATACTGAAGATTCCAGAGACTGGAACTTACTATTAAACAATCATTTTAAGTTTCATTTAACTGTAGTAAGTACTGCTTACAAACACATACACAAATGAAGGAATTTTACCACCTACATGGCAATTATATACAGAACTAGACAATTTGGCCACTCTGTATATTCCTTCCATTCTTAGCTGCCATATCACTCTACTATTTCTCTTCTTCCTCCTTTTTTGTGGGCACTTGAGTTTGACTTTGTCCTTAGCCCTCTTGTCTTATCCATCCCCAATGCATTAATTATCACCTATGTGTTAATGGTGCTACACTTCCATCTCCAATTAAAACTCTCTCCTCGGGGCTGGAGATGTGGCTCAGCGGTAG